CACACACACATACACACTCTCTCTCAGTCTCTCACACACACACTTTCTCTCTCTCGGTCTCTCACACACACTCACACACACACGAACACGAACACACACTCACACACACACGAACTCTCTCTGTCTCTCTCTCTATCACACACACACAGAGAGAGAGAGAGAGAGAGAGAGAGAGAGAGCCTCAGGTTTCACGCACACGGTCTGTGTGGACAGTTTGTGAGGTGTGAGAGAGATACAAAGCAGAAAGTGAGAGAAGGGCTATGTGAGGACAAATAGTAAGACGTGCGAGGGATGGAGAGATAGAGAGAGAGAGAGAGAGAGAGAGAGAGAGAGAGAGACAGGAAGACTGATAGGGAGAAAGAGACGCAGTCTTTAAAGCCGCCTCCCCTCCCCCTCTCACACCCCTTCTCCTTACTTGAGCCGCCAGGGAGATGATGGAAGACATAAAATCCATGGGAGGCTTGAGGATGTTGAAGAATGCCAAGGTCATGAAAGCACCGCCAGGGTCAAGGTAGTTCTCACGGTCACTCAGGGAGAACGTAGCAAAGGTCGCCAGGGTCACCTGCAAGTAAGGGGGAGGGGGGGGGGCGAGGAGATGAAGAACGACAGGAATCAGATTTCAAGGCACATCAACGTCACTTTCAACACGACGGGATTCTTCAAACACTACTCTGGTGTAGTTTTGCTCTTTCTTTTCTATCTAGCGTGTGTCGTCCTTATACTTTCTTCTTTTTGTGTTTGTTACTCTCTTGTGACCCCTCTCATCTTTGTCACATATGTTACCTAATTGCGTTGCCAGTGCTGTAAAATCTTATTAAAAGAAAAATGCAATTGGGGTTAGAGGACGGGCGCTCGCTAAAATTGCATCACAGACAGAACCAGATCATATTTTTCTTTGAAGAGCGAGATATAATGAACGAAAAAAAAATGCCTGCCACTTTCCATTTTGACCAGTATCCCCCCCCCTCCCTTCCTTCATTGCCTTTGACAACGTCTCTCCCACCCCTTGTTCCCACTCTCCTCCATTCTTTTTTCCTTTATATCCTCTTATCCTCTACCCCTAGTCTCTTGCCCCACTTCCCCCACCCACCAATACCCATGAGATAACCGGATAACAGACACCAGAATCGACGTAGCACAACACAGTCTTGGGGAGGGAGCCATCTCCAAGGTATGAATTCCTTGCACCTGGTCGTAGAAACAAGGTCTCTCTCTCTCTCTCTCTCTCTCTCTCTCTCTCTCTC